AAAAAAAAACGCATACATGTAAATGCGCTTGCTAGTGATCTTTTTGTGAATAGTCGAGAGAACAAGCAAATCAGGCGATGCGACACCTGACAGCTGCCGATCTTAAATGAGCTTTAAACGTGGGACCCTAGTTGCGTTATAAGTAAATTACACACAATAATGTACATCAAAAAAGATACTCGATTCTGATTGGCTGAGAGCAGTGCAGCTCAAGTGCATATTACACATCGTAATTCTGGACTATGATTGGCTGTAAGACAATAACAAATTTTCCTAGCCAATGATATCACTTAAAATGATGACGAAAATTTTGTCCGGACACTTTGAAAAAAAGTTTTCGAGCTCGAATGAGAAAAAATGGCTTTGAGAAAGATCTTCCGGCACTTCCTCCACGCAAATTTTTTTCATGTTTGTATTATTAATAAGTAGTCATACGGTTTTTCTCGTTCAATTTGGAATTAATCTGCACTTGTGAGTTTTTCAAAAAGCTCACTCGTGCCAATTAATTCCAAATTTAACTCGAAACCGTATGATTACCTATACAAAGTCTTAAGCATGAGTCGTACCGTGCAAATCGGCCCATGTCTAACTATCACTTGAAAACCGCCCCACACAACATCGTCCTCCGGGCGCTTCTCGATCCCTGGGGAAAGCTCTTCTGGGGGGAGGTGTTGTAGATTTTCTTTTGGCATCAACGCCTAGTTTACCGGGCATCAGTGTAAAAAAAGCGCAATTTTAAGAAGAACAGTATCGTCCGCCATCTTAGTAAAAGTCATCTAATGCGCCTGCGTAATTTAACATTTGAACACTGCTTGCGTTTTATACTCTACCCGTGTGAACTACGCTGAAAGACTACATTAATCGACAGAGCCGCTTTATCATTCGCCTCAAAAAGCGGATTGACGATGGGTCCAAGCAGTGGAAAGGTTTCATACCTTACTACTACAGTTATCGTGTGAAGAAATTGCAATTCAAGAGCAGCATGAGCGTTTCTTTGCGCCGGGGTTACCAGCAGCAGAGGAGCTTCTGTTGCCATTCTCGTCCCCTTGCTT